TGAACCCCCGAACAGGGCTTGTAAACCTTGTAATCAAACTACAGGTCGCAATTTGGAAGATAATTCAATGAAATTTGGAACACGAAGTCTGTTGAAAATGGTTAACATCGGTCCATTATCTCACCTAGCCCCCATACAACTGAACCCCCGAATAGGGCTTGTAAACCTTGTAATCAAACTACAGCTCGCAATTTTGAAGATAATTCAATGAAATTTGGCACACGATCTTTTATGGCACCGGAGACGAAGCGTGTTGAAAATGGTTAACATCGGTCCACTATTTCACCTAGCCCTAATACAACTGAACCGGACTAATAGGCCTTTTAAATTCATAATTATGTTTAATATACTCGTATCTCGACAAAGAGCTGGAAAACCAAGTTTTATACTAGCCTTGATGACCCTCATGCATTTTTTTAATTATAGGGTCTCATTTGACCATAGCCCCTATTCAAAGCCCCCTTTCAAAATTCGACTTAAAAGTCCACAATTTTATTCAACAATAAATGACTTAAGTATATCTGAGGCAAGGTACAAAAACAAAATCACTTTTTTTTTGTAACTGCTACCGGAGACGAAGCCTGTTGAAAATGGTTAACATCGGTCTATTATTTCACCTAGCCCTAATACAACTGAACCGGACTAATAGGCCTTTTAAATTCATAATTATGTTTAATATACTCGTATCTCGACAAAGAGCTGCAAAACCAAGTTTTATACTAGCCTTGATGACCCTCATGAATTTTTTAATTATAGGATCTCATTTGACCATAACCTCCTTCAAAATTCGACTTAAATGTCCACAATTTTATTCAACAATATATGGCCTAAGTATATCTGGGACAAGGTACAATTCAACTTAAATGCTTTATTATGAAAACTAAATCACATTTTTTTTTGTAACAGGTGTAGGGTATTATATGGTCGGCCTCGCCCGACTATAATTTCTTACTTGTTTTACCATAATTTTAACATATCCATAGAAAAATATTCTATAGAATCGCTATTAAAGGACGTAAATAGATAATTCTCATCCATTTTAAATCTCCATCAATCCTTCAAAGGTAAAATTAAAACATTTTCTATTGTCGAGAGATATTTTAATAAAAAAAATGAAATTTGGACAAAAGTTTTAAGAAAAAGTTGGAAAAGAAAAAAATTTACATTTTCAAATGAAAATATTTAAGTGTCTATGCAGCAAATGAAAAAAAAAATGGTAGATTTCCGATAGCGGGATGTCCCAAAAATATATAAATATATTTTTTATTTTTGATTAATAAAAGGGCAGAGAATCAGTTTTGAAAACAGCTTTTAATACAACTTTGTTTAAAAATAACACGAAGTTATTGATATTATTTTAATTTCCATAAAGTTTTTGTTTTTGCTGAAGCCTTTTCAAATATATGTATATCAGAATTTATGACTGAAGCCATCTCTTACAGCCTGTTTTTCTAAAATGAAAATGTCTATGAAAATGTAAACCCTATGGTTTGCATAAAAATTTATAGAATTTTAACAAAATATAAATATAATACCACCAAAAACTGAAAAAATGGGTAAATGCAATGATTTAAAGAAGAAAACGTAGGTCATAAATCTACTATCAAATGCTTAAATATAAATGGAATAACTTTAAAATATTTTAGGAATAGAAGAACTACATATGCTCAGTTTCAGAAATTGGTTGACCAAATGGAGGCCTTTCCACATCTAGCTACTAGTACTCCTGTATTTAATTCCTCTTAAATCTGAGTCGATTTAGCTATGTCCGTCTGTCTGTCCGTCCGTCCATGTAAACCTTGTAATCAAAGTACAGGTCGCAATTTTGAAGATAATTAAATGAAATTTGGTACATGATCTTCTATTGTCCTAGGGACGAAGCCTATTGCAAATGGTTACGATCGGTCCATTATTTCACCTAGCCCCCATAAAACTGAACCCCCGAACAGGGCTTGTAAACCTTGTAATCAAACTACAGGTCGCAATTTTGATGATAATTCAATGAAATTTGGCACACGAAGTCTGTTGAAAATGGTTAACATCGGTCATTATCTCACCTAGCCCCCATACAACTGAACCCCCGAATAGCGCTTGTAAACCTTGTAATCAAACTACAGCTCGCAATTTTGAAGATAATTCAATGAAATTTGGCACACGATCTTTTATGGCACCGGAGACGGAGACGTGTTGAAAATGGTTAACATCGGTCCACTATTTCACCTAGCCCCAATACAACTGAACCGGACTAATAGGGCTCTTAAGTTCATAATTATGTTTAATATACTCGTATCTCGACAAAAAGCTGCAAAACCAGTTTTATACTAGCCTTGATGACCCTCATGAATTTTTTAATTATAGGGTCTCATTTGACCATAACCTCCTTCAAAATTCGACTTAAATGTCCACAATTTTATTCAACAATAAATCGCCTAAGTATATCTGGGGCAAGGTACAATTGAACTTAAATGCTTTATTATGAAAACTAAATCACATTTTTGTTGTAACAGGTGTAGGGTATTATATGGTCGGCCTCGCCCGACTATAATTTCTTACTTGTTTTACCATAATTTTAACATATCCATAGAAAAATATTCTATAGAATCGCTATTAAAGGACGTAAATAGATAATTCTCATCCATTTTAAATCTCCATCAATCCTTCAAAGGTAAAATTAAAACAATTTCTATTGTCGAGAGATATTTTAATAAAAAAAATGAAATTTGGACAAAAGTTTTAAGTAAAAGTTGGAAACGAAAAAAATTTACATTTTCAAATGAAAATATTTAAGTGTCTATGCAGCAAATGAAAAAAATGGTAGATTTCCGATAGCGGGATGTCCCAAAAATATATAAATATATTTTTTATTTTTGATTAATAAAAGGGCAGTGAATCAGTTTTGAAAACGACTTTTAATACAACTTTGTTTAAAAATAACACGAAGTTATTGATATTATTTTAATTTCCATAAAGTTTTTGTTTTTGCTGAAGCCTTTTCAAATATATGTATATCAGAATTTATGACTGAAGCCATCTCTTACAGCCTGTTTTTCTAAAATGAAAATGTCTATGAAAATGTAAACCCTATGGTTTGCATAAAAATTTATAGAATTTTAACAAAATATAAATATAATACCACCAAAAACTGAAAAAATGGATAAATGCAATGATTTAAAGAAGAAAACGTAGGTCATAAATCTACTATCAAATGCTTAAATATAAATGGAATAACTTTAAAATATTTTAGGAATAGAAGAACTACATATGCTCAGTTTCAGAAATTGGTTGACCAAATGGAGGCCTTTCCACATCTAGCTACTAGTACTCCTGTATTTAATTCCTCAAAAGCTGACATTGAAAATACGTGGCACTCTATAGCACAGAGTTTAATCTCTATAGGTCCTCCGAAAGAACAGTGGTTGAGTGGAAAAAAGTATTTGCTGTATAATTATAATGATATCATTATTGGCTCAAAAATTGTGTTAATTGTAGACTTGGACGGACCGTAAATGTAGAACGAAGCAAAATATAGCTGAAAACAATAAAAGTATTTTAGGAACAGGAGGGGGACCTTGTCATATAAAATCGTTAACGCCGCTGGAACTGCAACCTTTCATCAGCAGCAGCTCCAAAGGGCCCCGTACATGGCATAAAGACTACCACACCAAACTCCATATCTAGTGAAATTATTTTAACCCAAACTGATTCACCTTTTTCACAGCCACAGAACACAAAAACAACACAACTTTCAGAATCAATTACACTTCTCACAACATCACCACATCCCATTTCACCACCCAAATATCAAATAAAACAAGTAAGAAATTATAGTCGGGCGAGCCGATCATATGATACCCTACACCTGTTACAAAAATAAAATGTGATTTAGTTTTCATAATAAAGCATTGTAGTTGAATTTTACCTTGACTCAGATAATTAAGCCATTTATTGTTGAATAAAATTGTGGACATTTAAGTCAAATTTTGAAGGGGGCTTTGTATAGGTGCTATAATTATAAAATTCATGAGAGTCATCAAGGCTAGTACAGCACTTGGTTTTGCAGCTTTTTGTTGAGATACGAGTATATTAAACATAATTATGAATTTAAAAGCCCTATTCGTCGGGTTGGGGGCTAGGTGAAATAATGGACCGATGTTAACCATTTTCAATAGGCTTTGTCTCCGGTACCATAGAAGATCATGTGTCAAATTTCATTGAATTATCATCAAAATTGCGACCTGTAGTTTGATTACAAGGTTTATAAGCCCTATTCCGGGGTTCAGTTGTATGGGGGCTAGGTGAAATAATGGACCGATCTTAACCATTTTCAATAGGCTTCGTCCCTGGGACAATAGAAGATCATGTACCAATTTTTATTGAATTATTTTCAATATTGCGACCTGTAGTTTGATTACAAGGTTTACATGGACGGACAGACGGACGGACATAGCTAAATCGACTCAGAAAATGATTCTAAGCCGATTGGTATACTTTAAGGTGGGTATAGGACCAATATTATTGTGCGTTACAAACATCAGCACAAACCCAATATACCCTCCCCACTAAAGTGGTGTAGAGTATAAAAAACCTTGAAAAAGAAAAGAAAGCACTGTCAAGATAATAAAGAAAATGATGAAGAAGTGGAACTTTTACGAAAGCAGGTTGCAACTCAAGAAGCAATTCTAGGTGCAATAGAGTCCCAAGCTAAATATACACAGGAGCAATCGAATACCCTTAAGGAAAAAGCAGGGTCAATAAAACATATTGCAATAATTTTATGAAATAAAAACAAAAAAATAGTTTTTTTATAAACATACTAATTTTTTATTGTAAATTCAAAGCAATTTGATTTCTTAAAGATAATGCCAAAGAGTGCTCATCTTCACTAGAATCTTCGACGATGTACTCTTCTTGAGATAAGTCGACTTCAGTACTTGATGGAAGCGATGTTATCAAGTCACATTTGTATCTTATGCATATGTTGTGAAGAGCGCAGCAGGCATTTATAATTTTGGTGGTTTTTCGGGACTATAAAATAGTCCTCTGGATCCAATTATACACCTAAAAAGATTCTTTAAAACACCAAAACACCGTTCAATAATGTTTCTTGTTTTCGAATGCTTTTCATTGAACTTTTTTTGCCATGGCTCTGTTGGATTCCCATAAGGCGTTAGCATATATGGAAGGAGTTTATATCCCGAATCGCCTATTGTAATACGTAAAAATGTTTTTTTTTTGTTTGTTTAAAAATATAGATAGATATAGACATACCAAGCAACCAAAAGTTCCTTTTTCCATTTAAAAATAGGGTTTTAAAATAGTGGTCGGCAGAACTATGATTCCAAACAAATGAGTCATGGCTGGCTCCTGGATGTCTTGCATCAACGTATGTAATAAACATTTTATGATCGCAAATCTAAAAAAATCACATATGCTTATATACATATATAGTGTTGTCTATATATCTATCTATCTATCTATCTATCTATCTATCTATCTATCCTATCTATCTATCTATCTATCTATCTATCTATCTATCTATCTATCTATCTATCTATCTATCTATCTATCTATCTATCTATCTATCTATCTATCTATCTATCTATCTATCTATCTATCTATCTATCTATCTATCTACTTACTGCCATAACATTAATGCTATAAAATCCTTTTCGGTTATAGTAAAGATGTTTTAAGTCGTCTCCCGGGGATTTAATTCGAACATGCGTTCCATCAACACATCCGATTACGCTGGGTATACCACCAGTTCTATAAAAACATTCTTTTGATTCGCTTTCTTCATTGGACGACTTTTCCAAATTAATCCATTTCGGACATAAATAATTATCAAATATAGTGAGACACTCATTTATTATAACGGAGACCTTTGACTTTGAAATCGAAGATGTTACTTCATTTCCAACACAATTTTGGTAACCACCAGTAGCAACAAACGACAAGAATGTTGCTAGCTTAATATGACCAGGAATGTGGGTGTTTCGATATGGCATTTTCATCTTTGGCTCCATTTCTTGTAGTAACATAAGAAATACTTCTTTACTTACTCGAAAATTGTCAACAAACCTAGCAAGATCAATAGTTATATGCATTAAAAAATATCTCTTGAAATATTGATCTTTAACTGACCGTTCACCTGTAAGTTCCATGCAATTAGTAGAATCACGCAAATACCTCCTGTTAATGCGTTGATTATTTATATTTTGATTTCTAGAATTTCTCACTGATATCCAAATTGTTCCAAACATTTTGATTTTAATTATTTTGCGTTTTTGTTTATTTATTTTTAAAAACTTTTTAATTATATGTAGGATTAGCAACAAACATCATATAGTAACATGTAAAAAGAAACAATTTTTGAAAAAATAAATACGTTGGCAATAATAGTCTCTCACGATAATAAAAAGCTCATTATACTTCAAAGTTAAATAAACGAAAACTTTTGAACATTTTATAATAACCAAAATTTAGACGTTATCGTTTTAAAATAAAATGTTCGTGTGAGAACTTTATTGTTTTAGAAAAACAGGCTGTTAGTCGATTTTTGTAACAGTTTTCTAAGCTATTTTTAATTTTTTAACATTTAATGAAATTTTCATTACTGCTTGTGATGAGATATCGGTCTATAATTTTTTTACATTATAGTTGGATAGACTATTTGATTATATGTTAATTGGTGTATAATTTTAATAAAAACATAGCATCTTAATTAGCTATTAGTGCAATGTACCGTTGTTAAGAGGTGTTCAATAAATTTAAACTAACATTTGTTTTATATTCTTAATTTTATAAAGTTGCAGATATCTTTGAGGAACAAATTTTGTATATTTAAATATTCTAAAGTACACAGAATTATAAAAGTATAAAATCCTTAAAATATTGTTAAAGGGGGCTGTAACAATTGCATTTGAAAAATTATTTTTTTTTAATTTTTAAGAAATTGTCCAACATTTTTTTCAATTGCTTATAAATTTGTGGATTTATTAGCTGAATGATAACATTGGACTAAAAGTAAAAATGGATTGATATTGTCCAGAGTTCACAAAATTATCACAACCTACGATCTTTAATATCTAAAATTGAAAATGTAATTTCTTTCGTTTTCATCCTTTAATACCTGAAACTCAGTTATATGATTTGACATTTTGAAGTCGAAATATATGTATGTACATACAAATACATAAAAATCAAATTGGTAATCTAAAAATCTAAAACATTTTGTAGTTTGAGATGTGTTGAGCTTTTAATTTTGTTTTTCTGTTTTTTTACAAAATACACAATTTATTTATCGTTTTCTTTTGGATTTTATTTTGTAAATTAATTTTTCACCATAATTTTCTTCATATTTTTCATAATACATAAATGAAAATTGTTCATTACATTTTGATAACAAATTTGATTTTTGTATTAAAGACAATGAAACTCTGATATTAATACAAAGTATTGTATTGTAAAACCCCTTTAAATGTGTATCATTTTCCAATTTTGACAAGATGCGTTTCTTCGTATTTTCAATTCCTCATTCTAATGTAGTTAGTGCATGTTTAATTTAATTAATAATTAATTTAATTAATACTCCCATTAATTTCTTATTAGAGTGTTCAAAATAAATCATGACCATATTAAACATCATAGAATGTCAACAGCCTTACTCAAGGTTAATTTTTTTCATATAAACAAACCAAAACAAGTAAGAAAGTATAGTCGGGCGTGGCCGACCATATGATACCCTACACCAGTTATGAATATTAAATGTGATTTATTTTTCATAATAAAGCATTTATCTTCAATATTCCCTTGTTCCGATACATTTAAGCAATTTATGGATGAAAAACTTATTTTCTGAAAGAGGCTTTATATGGGGGCTAGGGGCAAATATGGACCAAGCCCGATAAAATTTTGTGAATATATTTATATTTACATAATATTTTATTGTGCTGAATTTCATCGCGATATTTGTGTTTATAAGTTAATTTGGGACATTCAAGTAATTTTCTGAAGGGGACTTTGTATGGGAGCTAGGGTCAAATGGGGCCCGATCTTGAAATTGAAATTTGGCAGGGTCATCAAGACTTCTATAAAAATTAGTTGTGCCGTATTTTATCGATATATCTGTATATTTAACATAATTATGAGCTCAGAAGCCCTTTTCGGGGGGTTCTGTTCTATGGGGGCTAGGTGAAATAATGGACCGATTTTAACCATTTTCAATAGGCTTCGTCCTTGGGCAAATAAAACGTGCGTGCCAAATTCTAAAAACGATTCTAAGCCGATTGGTATACTTTAAGGTGGGTCTAGGACGAAATAATGGACCGATTTTAACCATTTTCAATAGGCTTCGTCCTTGGGCAAATAAAACGTGCGTGCCAAATTCTAAAAACGATTCTAAGCCGATTGGTATACTTTAAGGTGGGTCTAGGACGAATATTTTTGTATGTTACAAACATCAGCACAAATCCAATATACCCTCCCCACTAAAGTGGTGTAGGGTATAAATACTCAAATGCTATTTATGCAAGTCATCAGTTTCCAATTTCGTCACAATCAAAAGTGCAAAAAAATAAAAAAAATTGTCTCCCTGCTAAAAAGTTGTTTGTATGCAATTCTAACTGTTTGTATGTACTTTTGACATTATTACACACATACATATTATTATACAACATAAATACATTGGTTAAATGCATAACAATTTTTTTTCCTCATAATTAATGCTTATACAAGCAAAATTACAAAAAAATTATTCACTGAGCAGAATTTTCTCTGCCATCATTTTTCAATATACATAGCTCTTATGAATGGGGGAGCAGAATTTCTCTGCTACTATTTACTCTTGCTTAGCTCTTATGAATGGGGGAGCAGAATTTCTCTGCCACCATTTGCTCTTGCTTAGCTCTTATGAATGGGGAGGCAGAGAAAATTCTGCCTCCCCACAGGTTCTCAATTTCATAAAAACAATTTCCTCGAAAAAAAAATCCTCCCAAATGTCTGTCATTAAAAAGTGTGCCAGAATCCGTATAAACATACTACTATAATGGATATAAAAATATATTAATAATAAACAATTTTCTATAATTTTAAATTTATAAATGATTTAATGAAAATAATATATAATTTGGTTATTTCCCGTCTTATAGCAATTTTTTTAAAGAAACACGTTTTGTAAAAGTATTATTGAATTTAAGAATTAATAAATGAAATTGAATTATTAAAGTACAGTCAAACTCAAGCTCCGCGGGACCAGTCAAATTTGTTCGTTATAAGCGAAGTTCGTAATAACACAGATGAAGTTTTTGTAGTTCCAAAAATAAAGTGGCATTTTACGAAATTTGAAGAATATGATTTATAAATTTATTTAATATTCTTTACAAAAAAACACCATTGATTTTATTTGTTCACAAATTTAAGTTTTTTTCAACAAAAGTTGTGTTTTGTTGCTATCAATGAATGTTAACGCTTAAAGTTAGCAACAAAACGAACATTACCTGACTTGGCATCACTCCACAGAAGAAATCTGCTAAATCTTAAAATTATTTCCAATTTCTTGAAGACGTTTTTCTATTTGGTAATTTTCTTTATTATATATATATATATATATATATATATATATATATATATATATATATATATATATATATATATATGGTAATGTTCGTTTTGTTAACATCCATCTAAACATTTTGGGTAATAAATTGGTGGACTACCCATGAGGGGAGCGGCACCTCCCATATTAATTAAATACAAAAATTCGTTTATCTGGGAAACTAATAGAACTAAATTCTTAAAATTTAGCACGAAGAACTTTAACATCCATGTAAACATTTTAGGTAATAAATTGGCGGACTACCCATGAGGGGAGCGGCACCTCCCATATTAATTAAATACAAAAATTCATTTATCTGGGAAACTAATAGAACTAAATTCTTAAAATTTTGCACAAAGAACTTTAACATCCATGTAAACATTTTGGGTAATAAATTGGAGGACTACCCATGAGGGGAGCGGCACCTCCCATATTAATTAAATACATAAATTCGTTTATCTGGGAAACTAATAGAACTAAATTCTTAAAATTTTGCACAAAGAACTTTAACATCCATGTAAACATTTTGGGTAATAAATTGGCTGACTACCCATGAGGGGAGCGGCACCTCCCATATTAATTAAAAACAAAAATTCGTTTATCTGGGAAACTAATAGAACTAAATTCTTAAAATTTTGCACGAAGAACTTTAATATTCATCTGAACATTTTTAAGGAAAAAAGAGCGGACTTTCATCTGGGGGGGGGGGCTTGGAGCCCCCATATGAATAAATTTTACTTGAAGAACTTTGACATACATCTGAACATTCAGAGTATAACGGGCGGACTTCCAATGGGGTACTTGGTACCTCCCATATGAATTAAATTCAAAATTTCGTTTAACTGGGAAACTAATAGAACTAGATTCTTCAAATTTTACACAAATTATTTTAATATTCATCTGAATATTTTGGAGGAAAAAGGGCGGACTTTCATCCGGGGAGCATAAAGCCCCCACATGAATTAAATTCGTATATCTGAGAAACTATTAGAGCTAGAATCTTCAAATTTTACATGAAGAACTTTGACATACATGTGAACATTTAGAGAATAACGGGCGGACTTTCAATGGGGCGCTTGGCACCACATATATGAATTAAATACAAATTTTTCATAGATAGATAGAAATTGGCGAACTTGCAATAATTTGCTTGGCATCTCTCATATGAAATATATTGTTAATCTGGAAAACTATTGTAGTTAGAATTTTCAAAATCGTTAAGTGGGTTTTTTATTTAATCAGTTTAAACGGCTAAACTGATTTTCTTGAAATTTTCACAATATCTTCCTGTATGTCTGGAAGGAGTTATAACAGCTTTTTATGTTGTAATTTCAAATGAGCGAGGTCCCACATTTAGATACAAATATTTTGGACAAAAATATGAAGTTCAGCAAAAGCGGGCGTGGCACCTCCCATATGAAGTAAATACTAAAATCTAATTATTAAAATCTGTATATCTAGAAAACTATAACAGCTAGAGTTCCCAATTTTGGTGCCTCTCACGTGAAGTAATTACAAAAAATTTTATATTCTTATCTATCTATCTATCTATCTATCTATCTATCTATCTATCTATCTATCTATCTATC